CAGGCTGTAACGGTGGAGACAGCTTCACAGCAAAGCACCAGAGTACAGCTCCTGATTCTCCTCTGTCGTTCTCGGAATTCCATGACTCTCGAGACTCTCCATGCTACACCTCGAGATGCACTCGACGATACACAAGAGCACAGCTTCCGACTCTTCGGTTCAGTCATTCCCAGAGCTCAACACAGTCTCTCGACAATGCACTAACTACGATACACTAAGAGACTCTTTTGGTGCACTCGACGACCCACTCAGTACTCGCTGACCGCCTGTCAACTCGATCGACTCCGCATGGACTAACTAACTGACTCGATACTAATTCGCTCTTGACCATTAATCATTTGAGAAAGGACACTTTTCGTTGCTTGCATCTGTGTCTAATATAAATTGTTTGTCAGTCAGGGGATAAGCAAGCACAGGCGTAGATGTTAATGCTGCCTTCAACTGATTAAAGGACTTTTCGCACTCCTCAGTCCACACGAATTTTTGCTTACTCTCAGTTAATTTATGCAGAGGCCTTGTGATGTTGGAGAACCCCTTCACGAATCTTCTGTAATAGGTACAGAGTCCCAGGAAGCTCTGTAGTTGATGAATATCCACTGGGCATTTCCAGCCCCTAACTGCTTACACCTTTTCTGGATCTGTGCAGACCCTTCGGCAGAGATGACGTTCCCGAGATAGGTAACTTCACTGCGGAACAACTTGCATTTCAAAGGACTCTGCTTGAGGTTGGCATCTCTCAATTTCTGGAACACCTTCCTGATATTTTCTAGATGTTCCTCGAAAGTACGGCCCAATATAATGATGTCATCTAGGTAGACCAGACGGGATTCATAAAATAGGCCACTAAGCACTGTCTCCATCAGACGTTCAAAAGTTGCAGGGGCGTTACAGAGTCCAAATGGCATAACTTTAAACTTCCAGAATCCTTGACTGGTAGTGAACACAGTTTTCTCTATCATCAGCATGAATTTCCACTTGCCAGTATCCACTCTTGGGGTCCAGAGTGGAAAACTACTTGTGTCCTGATAGGGTGTCTAGAGTATCATCTATCCTTGGAAGAGGGTAACTGTCTTTCTTAATGGCATTATTTAGTCTCCGGTAGTTGACACAAAATCTTGTTGAGCCGTCTTTCTTTCGGGAGAGAACTATAGGAGATGCCCATGAATTTTTTTGGATGGTTCAATGATATCATTTTCTTGCATCTCCTTCAGAAGATTTCCAACCTCTTCCTGTTTTGCGAATGGTAAACGTCTGGGATGCTGCTTTATCGGAGAGTGATCCCCCGTATCAATTCGATGTTGTGTCAGTTTTGTGTGGCCAACATCTCTGGGTGTTACATAAAATATATTTTCAAATGCTTTAATTGTTTTCTCTGCCACATGACCTCGTTCACGGGTTAAATTTGCACTCTGCAGAAGTTCTTTCATTAATTCCCTAGTTGCCTCAGTCGGAATTTCAAGTGAGGCAAGTAACTGGAATGCATGCTGCTAGCACTTCAGCTTTTGGATGCATCTCAGTCTGTGGCTAACATTCACCACTCTCACAGGGATGAAATCTTTCGAAAGGTGTATTAATGAAGAGGCCACTAATACCTCTCGTGGGCTATTTTCAGGGTATTCAATTAGTCCAAATCTGAAGCTATTCTTTTCTATGGAGCCGGCTATTAATAATTCTGTCATCGGAGGGATGGTGACATCTGTTGTTGTTACTTTGTGAATTGAAGGAATGCTGTTCTTCATTTCGAACACAGTTATATATTCTTTTGCAGAGCGCAAGGTGCGGTAAGATAGCTTCCCTGCAAAGCAGGTTTAGGGTTGCCATTTCATGGCAAGTGAAGGCAGGGTTGCCACATTTGGCGACAAAATTGGTGATACACCATGGACGGAGGGTGAACCTTCTGGAACGAATTCTTACCAGTTTAGCCCAGAATGTTCTAAAACACAAGCCAAAAGCTATATGAACCCTGCTGGTATGCAGGGAATTAAATAGTGCGAGTCAATTGGTCCATGCAGAGTCCATCGAGTTGATAGTCGGTCAGTGAGTGCCGAGTTTGTCGTCAAGTGCACCAAAAGAGTCAGTGCATCATTGAGAGAGTGTGTTGAGCTCTGTGAACGACTGAACCAAAGAGTCAGGAGCTGTGCTCTGTGTGTCGTTGATTGCATCGCGAGTTGTAGCTTGGAGAGTCTCGAGAGTACTGTGAGTTCCGAGAACGACTGAGCAGAGTCAGGAGCTGTACTCTGGTGCTTTGCAGTGAAGCTGTCTCCACTGTTATAGCTGTTATATGTGTTGCTGAGTTATATGTTATGACTATGTAAATGTGATTTTGGAGCTGTCCTGAGAACACTGGCCAATTTAAAAAAAGTGTGTTTCGATACTTCATCCAGTGTATCATCGTTATTCACTCCAAATCCACACGAACAACAAACGTACGTGAAGAAGAAAATAACATAACAATATGTTCATCGATATTTATCACTAGTTACTATTATGTCGTTGAGGTAAATAAATGTCACTTTTCCAAGAACAGGTTTTAATACAATGTCCATTGTCATGCACATACTCGGTAAGAGGATGCTACCAACCAAGCGCGTGAAAAAACAGTTTATCTGAAAGGAGAAGGAAAAATATCTGGCAACGGGAAGAAGAAACGTGCTTGATGCGAGAAGGACGGCATGCTCGTGTGAAAAAACAGTTTATCTGAAAGGAGAGGAAAAAATATCTGGCAACGGGAAGAAGAAACATGCTTGATGCGAGAAGAACGGCATGCTCGTGAGAAAAAATTTGAAAATGAGTTTGGCTGTATTCCGAGAGTGGAGTTTTTCTTCTTTTTTTTTGTTAAGAACTGAGAGATGCAATGTATTACTTGTGCGTTTGATGTAAATGTGAATAAAAGCAATACTTTGTGAAAAGTTAATGTGTATTTACAAAATTAAAATATAGCTCATGTTATTGTTAAACCTGTTTAAGTGTCCCAGTTTATTTCTTGCAAATAGAGTTGACTAATACCGTTCATAAGTGGATGGAAACGAACCGACAAAGATGAATTGATCAAAGAATCGATGTATGACATCCATGATACACTGGAAGGTAGGTAGGGCTCCACACAAACCAAAAGGCATTCTAAGAAAGGCATAAGTGCCTGATTTTATTATAAAGGCAGTTTTTTTTTTTTTTTTTTTTTTTTTTTTTTTTTTTTTTTTTTTTTTTTTTTTTTTTACATCCTTGGCTTTTATAGCTATTTGAAAATACCTTGAGGTAAGATGTAGTGTGGTCATAAATTTAGTTGATTTAAGTTTCGGTATAATTTCTTCGATTGTAGGCAGTGGATAAATGGGATATTTGGATAAACATTTTAGCTTTCTATAGTCAATATGAAATTACCACTCTGAAATTCAGAGTGGTAATTTCAATTAGAATCTAAATCATATCTAAATAGCAGTACCAAAAGTTTTAAAAGAAAAATATTACTGTATTTCATTATAAATTAATACTACATGGGAACTTTTGAGAAAGAAGATAATTAGTATGTTGAATGTGGCTTTGCCTATACATGTTTAAATGTGTAAAAAAAAAAAAAAAAAAAAAAAAAATTGCTTGCACCCTTGTGTCTAAAAAAGCCCTCTGTAGTCATGTATTAGTCTGCAATAATGGCCTGATTATGTATATATTAATATACATGAATGTAGTAAATCTTTGCAATTTAAGTCATCATGGTAATGATGTAGTATATGGTCTACCACGTGTAATTAATCATTTGTTTCTTAGATAGTGCAGCTAAGATGCTGTTTTTAATTCAAACATATGATAAAATGGTGGGAAAAAGAATAATTAAAACAATAACCAATGTTAGTGCCACCATTTAAAGAATAAATGATTGATTAAAACTGGAAGATCTCATTATACATGATTACACTCATCATTCTTTTACTTCTGTAAAAAATTCTTGAATTGTTCCAGTGGGGTTACACTAATAAGCAAGTAGAAAACTTTAAAATATAAAAAATTATATCAGTTAAAAAAATTGCAATCTGACTTCTGTCTTCAGTTTAACCAGTAAAATCTGAAATATATTTAAGGTATTTTTAAGCTAATTAGCTACTATAAATCTAATAGATTAAGAATTAGTTTCAAGATGTAGAATCTAAATCATATCTAAATAGCAGTACCAAAAGTTTTAAAAGAAAAATATTACTGTATTTCATTATAAATTAATACTACATGGGAACTTTTGAGAAAGAAGATAATTAGTATTCAAGACATAGTACTCAAAATATATGTTATATTACCTGAAATTCTTTTTCCTCTTCCTTCACTTTTGGCTTATGATTATGTAACTCTGAAAATGTTCCAGCAAAGACAGTTACACAATGGGAGGTTGTTTTTAAAGACAGGTATATCTTATAAAAAGAGACAAGGAATTTTGCAAAAAAATTCTGAGCAATTATTATTTTGCAATGTAATTTTAACAATTTTGGAAATGATAGAAACATACGAATCCACAATAAAGAAGATTTGAAATGTTTTATTAACTTCTAAAATGAAGGAATTTGGGTTGGAAGAAAGTGTTTTGATTTGTTATTTTTAGTTAAAAAATATTTTTCCATATTATTTTAAAGTAATAGATAATCAATGCAAGCCTTGACATTTAAGGAGGGGAAAGTGAGATTTTTAAAAATATTTATTTAATTTGTTAGTTATTCGACCGGTTATTTTTATTGTCTGCCTGTTATCAAATATTCAGTATTTGGGTCAAATATGAATGTCTTCTGGATGCGCTTTGCTTTCCTCACTACGTTATTAGTTTTTTGTTTGTTTGTTTGCTTTCAATTGCTTCTTTAAAATTTACAATTTAAATTGAAAATTTATGAAATGTGTTGAACGACATATTTAATTCTCTGTTTGTGTACTGATAAAAAAATTAATGTTATTTTGTTATCAATTTGGTGTTAATTTTGCCTAAAATAACAGAAAAATAAAATGTCATTTTTTAAAATTTACAGGCCTCTTTTATCCATATCTAACAGTTCACATAACAAGATTGTTAGTTTTGTTCATGCAGCATGGGACAAATCAAGTTCAAAAATTGTTGCTGGAGATAGTTTTGGCAACATATATATGTTTTATCTTCAAAAAAATAAGTAAGTAACTGTTGTGCATTATGTGATGATTTAGATGCTTATAAAACAATGTTTTAATAAAAAATATGTTTATGCACTTCATCCCCTTCAACAATCATGGCTCCATAGACACACCTGTATATGCTCATGAATTTGACTCTGAATATTTGCATAATTCTTTGGTGGGATAATTAGTACCTTTGGTTCAGTATTTTTTGTAAAAATAGACATAACTGGCAAATTCTCTTAATTTTGCACATGAATGTATATACAGGGTGATTCACTACCAGACTGACAAACTTGCAGGATGTGCAGAGATGACTCAGAATCACATAGGAATGCAGGATCACAAATGCTGTAGTTGCAAGCTATGGTGCAAAGAAGCATAGAAAAAGAACAGAAACAGCAACACATTAATGGGGAAGAAAACATATTATTGAAAGGTTGTACTACAATAGGTGTTCAAAATTACAACCAGAAGTTGTTTGGCAGGCCTGAAAGCGGTGCTGCATGGAATTCTTTATGTTCTGGAATATTCCTAGCATGTCATGTATCCTCCCAGCAGTTATAGATATTTGAGCAACGAGGTCTTCAACTGTCTATGGAAGTCTTGTACACCAAACATCCTAGAAGTCTTGTATGCATGAGATCCCAGAAGAAGAAGTCCATGCATGATAGGTTCGGTGTAAGTCCATGTACTACCAACATGATGGGGCTCCTCCACATTAGACGACTGATTCCGCCAAAACCTAGTCATAACCTTTGGACAGCGGTGTTTTGTAGTTGCCAACTCACTTAGTTTTACATCACATCTCCTGAGCTTCTGGTAGATCACTGAATCTCCTGGTTTTTAATATTTTAATGTTTCTTAAAGAAAATGTTTTCCAAAAAGTAAAATTTATTGAATTAATGAAACTTAAATTAAATATTAACATTTATTGAATTAATTGACTTTATTTTAACCTTTTATTGAAAGATTTATTTTGTTCTTTTATTGAATTCTTGAGATTGATTAAAAATTGACTTTTATTGAATTAATGAAACTTAACTTTTATTCCCTCACTTCTGATGATTTTCTGAATAATTTTTCTTAAAATTTTGTTTCATCTGTACCCTCCCTTGCTATCATCATATAAATTGCTTTTGAAGTAGTCATATACTCTGTAGCAAACAGTGTCTTGTCTTTGTTTCATTTGGTATGTATTTCATTCTTTCACAGCCTGCATTAACCGATTTTTTTTATGCCTTCAGCCATATCATCAATGTGACATTTCATAGTGTTATCAGCAAGTGGTATTTGTGAAAGTTTTTATTTAATTTCTTGTCCAAGAAACCCTGCTTTCAGACAGGGTTTGACAAATGTTTCTCCGATAATAGGACTTTTCTTGGCCTCTGCAATGAATAGCAATACTACGAAGATTCAAGTGGTTTTCAGATGACTGAACTGAAAAACCACTTGAACTGATTTCTGATAACTGAAGTGATAACTTGCACTTTTACAGTAAAAAACTCCTTTGGCTTGTCTATTAAAGTGCTGTGTTTTGTCAACAAATGTCACTCCAAACAATGCATCTCATGGCATCATTGCTCAGTATAAATACACAAATAACACATTGCTGCCGTTTGGCATAATGTTTTTGTGTCACAACAAAACCTTACTTAATATAATCATAATTTTGTTTGCGTTTTTTTCAAATGAAGTTAAAAAAAAAGTCAAATTTATTTTCATGTCAAAAGTAAATATAAAGAGCCATTCACACTGGGGTTTATCTGTGACATAGTCAACGCATCTCCAAAACCAGTTTGGCCCCATAGCGCAGCAAGTTGAAAAATCTGAACTGCATGTATAGTGGAGCTAGTAGACACATGGAACTGACTCCGTTAGCTCAGATAAACCCCAGTGTGAATGGCCCTTAAGAGCACTGTTTATGTGATTGTTACTGACCAAATTGATTGCTATGCTGACTGAATCATTATTGATTGAATTGAGCACAATGTAGTTGAGTGGTGTGGTGCATGCAGGTGGCTGAGTATCATTCGCTGCACCTACAATGCTATGCTCGGTTATATAATGAATGTGTATAGATTGCAGAAGTGAGATAATATTTATAGTCTATAAATTTATAAAGCTCTTCAAATATTTTATTTTATTTATTTATTTAGATTTGTTTTGTTATACCATTGGCATAATGCATGCTGTACTTTCTTGACATTTTCGCCTGACAAGAGGCAAGAAGTTATTGTAGCTTTGTCTGACTGCTCTGTTGTATCATTAAATTCAGGTACACTTTTATTTTTATTTTAATTTATTAGTTTGTGCAGTTTGCTGTTTCAAGAAATTCTTATTTTTAGAAAATATTTTGTACTTTCCAATTAGCAGGCCACTTTAGAAAGGCTTTTGTCCCAAAACTCAAAACATCATGAAATTTGAGTATTAATCAGATGGAAAGACTGTTAAATGCAATTTTCATGTAACATTTTGCTACTTTTGGTAGTGTTTATTGCTACCGCTTTTTAAATTTACTTTCATCAGTTGTTAATTGCTGTAAATTGCATATATATGTTGATGTTTTACAGTATGTAACTGAAAATTTTCAAGTGTCTATTTAGAAGACTGAAATATATTTCAAAATAAATACACTTTATAACAACAAAATGAATACACCAAGAAAGAATCCTGCGATTTCTTTGAAATTTCGTATGCATAAATGTTTTGACCAGATATGCAGATGATTAAAATTTGGTGTCCAATGAATGAATAGTGCGATCTCCAGCGCATCGGAACTGTGCATCCAGCAGATGTATATAAGCAGCTGTTCTTGAACTGTTGTTAAAAATTTCTGTGTTGCATTGTGATTTAGAATACCTTTCAATGACCGAATAAATGTCTTGTCGCAGGATTTGAGCTCATTACAAGCAACTGTCAGAGTTTGAAAGAGGTCGTATCATTAGATTGAAAGTAGCAGGTTGGGCAAATCGGAGAATCGCTCGTCATGTGAGTTGAAGCGATTAGAAGATGCTGGCAAGAATGGGTGGACAAGGCAGATTTCAGCACCATGATCGTAACGGTTGACCTAGGGCCACAGCAGATCGGGAGGACAGAATGATTGTCAGATCAGCTGTCACAGCGCCTGATTCATTGCTCTCAATCATCAGACATGCAAGTCGCACACGAGTGTCCACCAGGACCATTCACAGCTGATAGAGCAAAATCAACGCTCGTACTGACTGTTACGCCACTTGCCACTCACGCCTGTATCTTGTGGAGCCAGACTGCAGTGGTGCTTGCCTCGATTTGGTTGGAATGATGCTGACTGGGGACGTATAGTCTTTAGCGATAAATCCTGCTTTCAACTGTGTTGTGACGATCATCAAAGACGTGTCTGGAGGTACCCAAAGCAGCATGTCAATCCTGCTTTCACTATTACACACCATACAGGCCTTCATCCAAGCGTGGTCTGGCATGCCATTTCTCTTGATAGCCGGACACCTTTCATCATCATTAGAGGCACACTTACAGCACAGCAGTACGTCAACGACATTCTGAGACCTGTTTTGCTACCATTCCTTTTGCAGATGATTAAATATGGCCTTATTTTTCAGCAAGAGGTAAAAATATATTCATTGCAAACTGCTGCCTTGGCGGAAATTGGTGATTTTTGGCATTACATGGATGCCGAGTTTGTTCAGTTCTTTGACTTGTTATTTTGGCTTGTGTGGCGGCAATTTTTGGCAAAAATCGTTGCCACACAAGCCAAAATATCTACACAAGCCAAAAAAACAAGTCGAAAAATTGCACAAATTTGGTATGCATGTGCACAACGACCTATTTTCACTTCAAAAAACATCAGAGAATTGCACAAACTTGGCATTGCACACTCCCTTGACTTTATCCATGTACACATCGACCTATTTTCTCTTTAAAAAATATCAGAGAATTCAACAAACTAGGCATTGCACACATTTTTGACTTTGTCTATGTGCACATCGAACTATATTCACTTAAAACGTCAAAGAGCAGACAACAAAAAAATATGTAATCTCAATAAACTACATTTTAAATTAAGCAATGAAATAACATAAAAAAGGAAATTCACCTTTGCACTACACAAAGGAAATATCCACTTACCTTATTTACGAATTAACATGTCTTGAGTCAAACAAAATTTCTTAACAGCATCTAAAAACTTCCTAAAATTATCTGAATTGGAATCTGTATAGTGGCGTTAGCACATAAATTCACAAAATAAGAGCAAAAAATATCCTCCGTAGTGCTGTTTATTGTCCGACGTTCGACCATAAGCATTTCCTTCGTACAAACAGGACACTACTAAGTAAACCTTCATTTACACACCAGTCAAGTAATGCTCTTTTCCCTTTTCTTTCCAAATCGTACAGAAACTTCAAATTAATCTTACCATATTCAGCCATTTTACCGTCTAAACCACAAAACAGGCGATATACTTCCTAACCAGCACACACACAAGCCCTTACGAATTTACCGCAATCATGCAACCAATTACGTCATAATAGGCTTTTTATAACATTCAACTACTCAGGCTATCATAAATGAATCAACAATTTGGTGATAAAGGAAACAACAACTTCACGATAATACAAGGGGTTCCCTTCTCTCTACTCTAACCCAGCAAGATAACGCCAGACTACATACGGTACGTGTTGCTATGAACTGTCTTACAGCATGTGAAACACTTCTTTGGCTAGCCAGATCACCAGATATCTCTCCCATCGAGCATGTCTGGGATATGATAAGGCAACTGCATCTACCAGGGAATGTTGATGACCTAGCCCGATAATTGGAGCAAATTTGGCAAGAAATACTGCAGGAGACTATCTGGGAGCTTTATCAGTCTATGCCACACTATGTGGCAGCTTGCATCCAGGCTAGAGGTGGGTCAACACCTTATTGAGCTCATTACTTTGTAACTGTGTAACTCTGAAATAAATCATTCAATTGTTCTGAAATTTTAATTATTTTCTATTCTGTACATAATCTTCCTGTCTACCAATTTTTGTCTTCATCAGACATCTCCTTCTTGGTGCATTGTTTTTTTTTTATTGTTATAGAGTGTATATATAATACATGTGATAATAAAATATTTGTAATGATAACTACAGTAAAATCTGCTAAGAAGCTTAGAAAAGTAATACTAGAATAGCAAAGAATAGGATTAAAGAATAGCAACTGATACAGCTGTCTTTTTTTTTTCACACTTTAAAATGGTGAAAAAATACGTTATGTTAATTAATAATTGTAGTAACTCATCTAATGCCACAAAAAGCACCAAAATGACTACTTACAAATTTTTATAAAAAAATGTATAGTAAATTTACTGTAGTAACTCCACATGGAAAAATAAATACATGGCATATTTAGCATCTGAGTCCAGACAACACTTTTAGTCTAGTTACTAAAATACTTGCTTCTATATTAAAAAGTCTATGATTCAAAACCCTAATGTGGCCACTATAGTATACCGGGGGGGGAGAGTGGACAATTCTATATCTCTTATTCCACTGGGCCGATTGACGAAATTTAACTTAAGTTTTTCATGTCTCGAAAGCACGACTTCGGATATATATTAGATTTATATATAGCATTCTAATATAGGTATTTTAGCACAAAATCAGACTTTTTCTGAAATAACATACCAGTTTTTTTCCATATTTCGTTTCTACGTGTCAAATTACACCAGATTGCAAAGTTATGTGAAAATCCCACGAGTAGTTTTTAAAAATTAGCTTCCAAAATTTTAGCTCCTCAATTTTATTTGAATTTGATAAATATTTATTAATATCTCTTTGTTTATCAAACTTATTTTATTTTCCTTTTCACATTTCAAAATTTAAGTTCATTCTAAATAAAATTCACCCATTTTTTATGATTTATTTTTTAAATTTGTATTTTTAAGTAATTTTTGTAAATTTTTTGAATTATAACCTATAAAAATTTTAACCATCATCTTAAAGTAGATGTATTTCTAAGCATGCCTGCAAAAAATTACGATTTTTTATTCAAAATTTCCTAAGATATGTGTGATTTGGAGCCCTTTGAAATTTGGCATATTTGTTATAGGCAATAATAACTCCAAATGTGGTTTACACACTTTGTTAAAATTATTTGAAAGTAGGAACAATGACTTTTCTTTCTGCTCCTGTACAATGAAAAAAAAAAGGAAAGGAAAATAGGTTGCTATAAATTAATAAGTTTGGCAAGTGAATTATTCTTGGTTGAAACTTAAAAAAATGCGGCAAGACAAATTTTTGAATTTCTCCATTAATTTCTCACAAAATTTCATATTTAGACATGATTTGAGTCGTAGAATCAAAATATGAAAAAAAAATTGCCATTTCAGTAAAAGTTCAATTTTGTGTCAAAGTACCTATATTAGAAAGATGCTATATATAAATATAATACATATTCTAAGTGGTGCTTTCGAGACATAAAAAAACGCAATTTGAATTTCATCAATCAACCCAATAGAACAGGAGCTATGGAACTGTCCCCCCTTTTTTTTTTTTTTTTTTTTTTTTTAAATTTTGCGCAGTGTGCATCAAACTTTCATCAATAAATGGTGCCGCTACTTTAATCTACAAGGCCTGTCCTGAAATTAATGCGCCCCATTTTCTTCTGCCGCGACTATTCGTCACAAAGTGTTGCCGCTTGCACGGAAGGGTGGGTGGAGTCTTGGGAACACAGCACGACCAGCAGCAGTCGGTTCCGAGCTCATGTTTCAGTGAACCCTTGTGTGAGTGCTCAGACAAAAAAGATGGGAAAAACTCTCAAGCAGCAATATGTCATTAAGTTTTGTTTCAAACTTTAGAAAATGCCGTTGGAGACTTTTGCGTTGCATCAGAAGCATTTGTCTCCTCCTGACTTCTTTTTGTTTTCAAAGATTAAGAAATCTCTCAGAGGACAGCGTTTGGGGACCCTGGAGAACAGCAGGTGTCTACAACAAAATTTAAAGCACATTCCTGTGATGGAATTCCAGGATGCGTTTAGGCATGGAAATCACATTAGAACAAGTGCAGGAGGGATGTATTTTGAAGAATATTGAGTAATTGTACAAATCGGTTCAATAAATTCCATTAAAAAAAATGGGCGCATTACTTTCAGGACAGAGCTTCTATTATTGAAAAACTAAATAGCTAGTTTATAACAGTTTGGTAACAATGGATATGAGGTAAACTACTCTTTTAAAGCTCTGTTCCTACTTTGCATATTTCAGTACATGAGGCTCATTTATATTGCCTTCAGTTTATCAAAAATCTCATATGTATTGTAATAACCTTAGAAGCTTGGAAAAATATTTCTTAATTCAACAGCCTTAATTGCACTACAACATTACCTACAAATATCATGCATGTATATCCACTAACAGAAAACTCTGTAGTGATTCTGCTTGCTAATCAAAGAGACATAAAAAAAAAAAAAAAAGCATTTCATGCAAATAAAGTTTCCCTGTATTGTTTACATATAACAGATCCTTTTCTCAGGGGTTACTAACATACACTTCCACTTTTCCATTTGAAAGTTATAATTACATTACTACTAATTACATACATAAAAATATATTTTCTGGCATTCTTTTCTTTAATTTTACAATTTAAAATCTTGCATAGGCAAATTTAGTATTCAGACTCAAATATTTCAGTGACTAGGCATGCTTTTAGTCTATTCACTGAAATATTTCCTCACAATCTTTGGTTTGTGATCATTTTATGGCACCACCATATAAAGTAGGTTAATACATTCTTAAATAAAGCTATGCTTTTGACTTTGATGAAGTATTTCTTAGGAAAAGTCTGTTGAACTTAGTGCAAGTAACTTTCTGCAGCTGCAGTTGTTTTCTGGGCTGGGAAACTTTTGTGTTCCAGTCATGAGAATTGAGTATGATCATTTTTCATATTCAAAAGAAATAAAAATGAGAAAAGTGCATTTTTGTGCAGGTATTATAGAGTCAAGCAGTTAAACTTAGGTGTGAAAACTGATAAGCAGGAATTTCATATCGGGGGTAAACTACTAGATCTGAAGTTTTATTTTGTAATTTTAAAAATCAGATTTATACTGGAAAACTGATTATACCTGGACTTCTTATCTGTGTTCTAATATATTTGAAAGCATACAAAAGTATTATGAACTCTTGTACCTAGGGATTACATCATTTATGCATGAGCATGTAAAATATGTAAAAAGGTATATATGGGCTAGCTTGTACTTTTAAACATCACTGGGTACAAATGTATTATAAATAATCCCTAAGTACATAAGTATTATGAACTTTTGTACCTAAGGATTACATCATTTATTCATGAGCATGTAAATATGTGAAAAGATATATATAGGGAAGCTTGTACTTTTAAAACTTTTAATTCATGTTATATTCTAAAAATTATTTTGGTTTATTTTTAGATTCAAAAACCATAGAAAATCAATTTAACCATCACATTTCCTGCGTAAGTTACATTTCTTTTGACAAAAGTGGCCGAAGGGTTCTGTCTTGCTCTAAAGATCAAGCTATACTGTGGAATTTGAACACATTCCAAATTCTTCGGTATCTTACACTCAGAAAAAGTATTGATATTGTGAAGGTATATAAAGTTTTATTTTCATTTTGTCTTTTTTTAATACATTCGATTTTATTAAATTTAGATATTGTACTTTGACGTAAAATAATCCACCTGCTTTTGTAATCTGTTTCTTTTGACATTTTGAACAAGGTATATTTTTCATTCTGTTGATTTCATGTCTTAGCAAAATAGAAACTGCTGCCATTTCACTTACAAGAAGTATTTGTTGCTTGCCTTGTGAACATGTTATCCCTTGAAAATAATTTGCAGCTATATATAATTTTTTAAATTTATTAATTGAATGAAAATATACTCATGTGGTGTGAATTTAGGGTAAAATAATATCATATCTAGTTTCTATTTCTATCATTTGGCATACATCAGATCATTTCAGAGAGAGGAATTTGTTCAACTTTTCAAATGTGAAACTGAAATCAAAATATGACCAGATTTCAGTTTTTTAAAAAAAGAAATCATATTTAGGGGTCAAACTGTGTTCTAAAGTTTCCTGATTTCAGTTTTCCAAATTTTTTTGGGTGGAGGGTATATGTGTCTAATTCTATAAGTGATCGGTTTATATTTCCTGTATGAATGTCATTAAAATCTCTCTTTCTCTCTATATAGATATATAAATACACTAAACTTTCTCTCTCTCTCTCTATATATATATATGTAATAACAGAACAATTTTGGAAGCTCTGGATATAAGAACACTGATGTAGATGCGCAGAAATACCGATGGCATAGATACGTGATGCTTCCATATTTATTTAAATTTAATTTCCACAATTCACTTGGCACTCCAATCGTGCGTATTTCCAGAATAATTTTGATACTATTTCGATAGAAGCAAACATAGAAGATTGCTGCAGTGTCTTAACAGGAAGAAAGCGTAAGCGAGAAGAAAGTGAGTGTCGCAGCAATAATGCAGAGGAAGAAAGAAGGAAGTCAAGTTCAAGTTAGTTTTGGTTTACAATTATTTTGATTGGGCAAGAGATATCTGCATTAAGCGTTACGTAAGATCGCATGATTAATTTGAATGACGTGTTTAGACTTATGGCGCTATTTCTAAGACAAAGAGAGGAAGTTCCCAAATTAAATAAAACTAAAAGAGATTATAGCCAATTAAATTTAGAAGTTTTGTTTCATATTTTTTATCTTACATATATATGTATATATGTGCATGTATTTGTGAGAAATTTTCTATACTGATTTGTACTTCAAAATATATTAAATAAAGTGTTGGTTTTTTTATATTTTTCACTGCCTTTTTCATTTTCTGTGGGATATGAAAATATTAAACATTTATCAATAAAGTAATTTTATAACAATTAATTACATTGTAATATTATGCAGCATGATATTTAAATTGTTATTCTAACCAATGGAAAAATTATATGATGACTGACTGATTCTCATGAAAAATATATACTACTATATCAGCATTTTGTAAAGCATAGGTTTTAATTATTCTTTATCTTTTGGTGTCATAGAATTTGTGTCTGTAGAGCAAAATGTGTTAAGGGAAAATTACCTTTTTTACTCTATAGATATGGATGCATATATGTGAACTAAATTATAATATTTGAGTAATCAGTTCTGGACAGATGAGTAATTTGAATATTTCATTTCACAGGTCAAAGAATTCTTCTGCAGTTCCATCCATAAATTTTATTTCGAGCTGCAAATAAATTGCTCGTTTCTTGGTTTCCATCATGAAACTCTCTTAATGTGGAATTATTCAGGAGTAAAAAGATATCTCAGGTGAAAAAACTGTTAGAGGGAATTGGGTTAGAAAGTGTTTGATCTTTTGACAAATAAGATGTATTTTATTTTCAAGTCACTTTTTGGAAATAAAAGTATTTATACATCTTTAATCTATTTATCGAAATTATAAAATACTGTAATTTTCACACAGTAGATGTTTAAAATGTGTTAAAATATTCAGATGCAAATGATAAAAACAATATTGTTAACCATGTGAATGCTTTTATCATCTTTTCTTCTAGAAACCGAGAAATTTGCTTCTATGCTTGACAATTCATTACTTAAAATTCAAGAAATTTAACCATGACTGTTTTTAAACAAGTTATCATTCACAAAAACTATCAACAACATTGCTAATTCCTCATTTCTTAAGTGATTTAATGACAGTTTCTCATTTTATTGCATCCATAATATTTTTAATTAAGTCTCATATTATTGAACTGCTACAGTTTTTCCTGTTCTGCTGACTGTTGTTGAAAGTGATAGTTACACAGTAGAACTTTTGTGCACCAAACAAAAAAACTGGATGTAAGTGATACGAAAGGTTTTAATTGGTGTGTCTTTAGCCTTAACAGAATATGTAAACACTGCATGTCAACATATAATATATGTGTATATATATATATATTAAAAAAGGTGATATAGGTGGTGATAACTTGACATAAATGTTATATCTATCAGATCTACTTTGCATTATATCCATCATGAGGTACTTAAAATTTTATCTCCAGCATGCAGAACTGGGTATCGGAAATTCTAAAGATATGCTCATTTTAAAATTATTTTGTGACATTGATATTGAACTGAATTTTATGGCTTAAGTGCAAAGAACATGATATTTATAATAAATAAAGGCATTAAAACAAAGCATTAAAAAAAAAACGCCCCTTTGGACGTAATTTAAAATCTGAAACCTTTCAGTTTCCCCCTCCCCCACAGTGTACATCTCCAGTGGACTTCTGAGGCCCATAATCTTTCCTATTAACGAGTTGTTGAAAATGATGGTAATGTAGTAAGACATTTTTGAACCAAAGGGAGAATGCTGGATTTAAGTGATATGAAAAAAGGTTTTTAATTGGTCTTTCCATAGCCTTAATAGAACAGTCATTGCATGTCAGCTTATGACATTTGGAAAAAAAAAAAGCAAGATAAGTTAACAGGTGATAATTTGGCATGATAACTTCTGTGTCATATCTATTAGATCTGCTTGGCATTTAATCCATCATTATGTACTACTTGCCAGTGCATTTCTTGATAGTAGATATTACCTGGACTGGAATCTCACAATTTAAGTTTGCCTTTCCTGTTTTTCAGAGCTAAATCCGTATCAGGATTTTGTGCATCATATTGCCAGATTATGATAGAGGGGACCACAGCTACACCCGTAATGAAATTCAATACTATAACCACACAGATAGGCCCTAAAATGGCACCTTAAACAATACATAGCTCTGACTCCTATATACATACATTAATATAGTTTCAATTTTCATTGTTTTTAGCACTGTGGAGATGCAACGGGAAATGCAAATTTCTAACAGATGTGAATTAAAATTTGGAAACTGCATTCTTCCCAAGTTTATTTCCTGGAATGACATTTGAGTTTTAACTTTTTAGAATTACTGCTAATTTAATTTTTATTAATGAAATGTACACATATGAAAAAATTATGACTTTATACAATTTCACTTCAATAATCACTTAATTCCAGAACGTGAGGAATGAATTCTGCTGTAAAACCATTGGGGGGGAAAGAAGAAGAAGAGTGGGATCAGTTATATGAAAAGGAAATAAAATTTATTCTAAAATATTCCAAAAAAAAAATTTATCCTGTCTTATAGTCAAGTATTTGTGGATACAAAATCTTTTGTTTCCTTAGGTATTCTTTCATCCTAGTGAAGATATTATTATCTTGGCTTTCAAAGATAGCTCTGTATTTCTATGGAGCTCTGAGAATTTCATTTGCACAAATCGGTTTATATGTACTAGTGAAGATGTGCCTTTAAACATCAAGTGTATTGACATTTCAAGGTATGTATTTTGAAACTGAAGTAATTTCTAACTTTCCATGCTTAAATTCGTGTGTATCTAATTTTTTGATTTATTATATATCTAACTTGAATTTTCTTCTTGTGCCTTTTATATAAAGGTTCTCCTAACCTACAAAGTTAATTTTCTGATAATGTTGTATCATATGTGGTATTTTTCTTATATAGTGATTGGTAATATACTGCTGAAATTGGTTCATTACCATTTAATCTATATAGTAGAGAGTCAAGACAAATTCTACATCACTGGGTCAGTATTCAAATCAGTAGTGAGGCATGATTATTACTGTCATGTCCGTACCAAGTAAGGAATATATGGGCCACAACAACAAAGCCAGTTTGTAGCTGTTGTTTCTAACAAGACATATCTAAAATTGTGAAAATTTAGTAAATTCAAAGATACAAAACAAACTTCATTGGAAGATTATATCCCAATTTATCAAATGGTACAGAGATTAAAATTCTGTGGTAATTAATTTAATTGCTAAGTAAGGGTATGAACAAACTTTCCTTCATTATTAAAGAAGAGTATCCATATTGTTCTTGTTGTTATTTCTAATGGCTTTATTTGTAAATCAGTTCATTTACATCAGGCCACTTGCCAAAAATAAAACATTAAACTCAAAATATTAAAAACACCTAAAAATTACAGCACTGAAATTAAAGTCTTTACCAAAAAAATCAAGTCATTAAAATTTTCACAATTAATCAATCACAATCTTAAAAGTCTTCAGTGATTAGAGGCGAAGCAACCATGTGCTCCGGACATTAGATCCCTGGTCATCCAGTACACAGAAGAACACCATATTGTATCCTGCGGGAGGGAAAAGAAAGTAGTGGGATATTGTATAATATGTGAAATGGTGTTTTAAAATATGCTTAGTGAGTCAAAAACATTGTGATCAAGATAAATAAAAAAAAAAAAAAAAAATGGACAGCATTGCATGAAAATGCAATATTTAGTCTTGTGAGGTGATCCCAATCCTGTTTTGGAAAGTATATTCAAAACAGAAAAACAGACTAAAGAATCTTTAAGAGGCCTTACATGCTTATGTAAATTTTAAAGACTTCTTTCGCAATTTTGTGGAATTCCAAAAAGATTTACTTTAAAAGAGAAATATTTTCTATAATAAAGATGATTGTAATTCAAAACCTAAATTGACTGTGCTGCTAGTTTTCGAATTGAATGCTTGAGAATCAAAAACATATTGGTTAAGCTCTTACGAATTTTTTCAATAGATTGTTAAATATAGTACTGCTAAAGGGTTTTTTTTTTTTTTTTTTTTTTTTTTTTTATATTTTGATTTTATACTACTTTTTATTTTTTGTGTTTTTTATTTTTAGTTGTTTTAATTTACATTTTTTTTTATTTTTTTGTTTTTATGTTTTTTTGACTTTGGTAATGCTTATAGAAAATGTTACATAATTTCGCAAAATCAAACTTGTATCATATCATTTTAAAGAGAATTTATTATTGACTTCACTACAAAACACAAATTAAAATTATTTGCAATAAAAAAAGTTATATAACGTTAATATAGAAATAAAAAACACAGTTATTAAGTGGGTTGTAATGTCTATCTAGCTTTCCTGGTAATCACTGTTCTTCCCTGTTCTTGTTCGGAGAATCAATAAAATGTTAGTAACTGGCATAAAGCGGACATCATGGTTTACACGTGAAACAATTCATTATTTTGCTTTGTTCTCTGTAGAAGGAGGACCTGTTTCTTATACACACTTTCATTACAAGTAGGAATTTTTGTAAAAATTTTTAATTATTTATTCAAGAACAATGAATCAAATAAAGAGTAGATTGGACCCTAGAAAGAGATGTAATATTAGTGTGTTACAGAAAATGGTCTTTTCCTAGCTGAATTGCAAGACGATGAGTGTTTTCAGTGGACTACATCTGGATGTCTGGAAAGTTTTGTTTACGATATCAGTAACAAATTCAATAAAAAACACAGAGGAAAAAGGCCGAAAAAGGTACAAACACACCGCATCTATTGAATGACAGAAAGAATAAAAAGACTAATGTTTCCTCCAAGATAGAAAAATGTCATCCACGGCCCATCATAAGTTGATCTGAAAATGTGCGGTGGTTCTCTGTCCGTTCAAGACACTCAGGATAAGATTCCACAGATTTGGACTGAGAGGTAAAGATTCCCTAAAAAACAAAACAAAAAAAACCAACAAAAAAACAAAAATAAACAAAAAAATTCCACTACAAACCCCTTATCTTAATTTTCATTCAGCACGAAACCAACAGACTACCTTTTTTTGTCAAAAGAACACATTAATTGGGACAGATATCAGATGGTCACATTTATGGCGTGGGATGAAACAAGATATCGTTATTCGGTAATTGAATGGGCGAATATGTAAGATGTAGAATAGGGAAAGAAGAACTGCAATACTGCTGCATTGAGGCAACTGTGAAAACCGGTTATGTTATGATTTGGTCATGGCATGTCAGCAGTGGATTGGTGTCGCCTTCATGTCATCGATGGTGGGACCTGAATTCCAGAAAATATACACTGAACACTATTCTATAAAACCAAGAACCAAAACTTCTAAACCTAACAACCAAAAACTTCTACCTTCCATCAGAATCTTTTTTTCCCTTCTTTTCCTAACAATGCTTCGTTTTTTTTTTTAGCAGGATTCTGCTCCTTGCACATACAAACAAGCACGGCCAAAATTCAAGAGTGGTTTGTACAAGAGCATTAAATTGTTGTCATAGGCCATGAAACAAGTCCCTGACCTTAATCCTATCGAAAAATTGGGGCCCGTTTTGAAAACTCTTGTCCACATGAGGCGCCCATCAAATAAAAGGTAACTAATTGAGGCTATAATTGTTTCCTGGCTCATAAATAATGAAAGAAGAGCTTAAAACTCTTGTCAGCTGCAGTGAAATGTTGATGTGAAGCTGTAATCAAAATAAAGGGTACTGGCTTCACCTAGCTAATGTTATTGATAACTATTTTATTCGTTAACTTTTTTATGCAAATAATTAACTTTTGTGTTTTTTTGTATTGAATTCAGTAATAAATTCTCTTTAAAAATGATATTATACAAATTTTGCATTCTTTGAACCGTAAAACGTTTTCTTCTATAAAGCATACAAAGTTCAAAAACATAAAAATTTCCAAAAGTGTCCACAATTTTGGCCACCACTGTATACTCTTAAACTAGATACATTTGCATTCTAGTGACAGAAATATTAATCATATTAAAATAGAAATGATGGTGGAAAACATGTGTACACATTTTACATCTGACCACTGAAATCATATTCAGTATTATTTCCATTAAAATCAAGTACTTTCAGAATGCACTTCAGAATGTTAAAGTATATTTTTGATGAAAATCTACGGAACAGATGGAGTAGAATAAAATATGCGTTTGTGCAAAATGCTTCTATTTGAAGCAAACTTCATGCCAATGAACTGTCTCTATGGAAAATCTGCAGAGATGAGAATTTATGGTACAAACCTAACAACAGTCAATGAAATGAAAGATGATTTATTTATATTTATCTTTAACCTAAGTTTAGATATGTCCTAATAAATAATTCATTAATAATCTTTCAAAGTGTTATGCATTTTTTGCAATTTTCTATTTGTTAGTGTAGCTAATTATATTAATGCTGCAGTATATAATTACATAATTGCCTTTTAGCGATGGAAAACTCCTTGCCTGTGCTGGAAAAGCTAATTGGTTTACTATATGGAGCACAGAAGAGAATAAGAAGTTGTATAATATTTTGCTTCCATCCAACGTGATTGTGGTCAAGCAGATATATTTTTTAACATGCTTGCAAGGATTAACTGAAGGCTATGTGAGTAAATGTGGTTAGTATTTTGATCACAACAAAAATGATGTTGAATTTGTTTTTCTGTAAAATGTTTTTAAAAGAAGTTGTATGTTTTTCATACCATTATTTCAGTATTAAAGGTGTATATTTAATATTGTCTTGACCCAAGCTATAAATTGGATTCTTCTTCGTAAACATGTGATATTTGTAAGACATGTATTCTTATATTGATTTAAACAAATATTTGAAAGGTAGTTCCAGTATTTTTCGAAGACAGGTTACTGCATTAGTTTGATTAGAAAATAATTTCCATTGCATAATAATATGAGAGCTCACATATACAAAATTTCTTCTACATAACTACCAACTTTATACATATTATTAGTGTATACATTTTGCGGGGCCATGCCATAACTTTTCACGAGAAATAATTAAAAAGAAATCTTTCTTAGTGCATCTAGCAAGAGACCTTCTTTAACATTTTGTAATACTGTAAAAAGTTCAGGTCATATTTTTATCTAGTTAACATCAATTTTGAGAGGGGGAAGCTCAACCACACATCTTATTCCTTCTTTCAAGTCTCATCCACAATTTCTATAAATCAGTCAGTATCTCAGTCTGTTATTATTGTGATAGGAAATAGTGACATCCTCTGTGTTATACATTTTATATAACGCAGTAGGTGCTAGCAGAATGAACTCCTTGGTTTTAATTTTGCATGTTGCAATAGTAGTGATTTGTATGACATTCATGTTTTGCAGGCTTGGTACAATCCTTAAAAAGTCTTTACTTTTGAAAA